TGTAATCCACAAAGAAAGGCTGTGGTAGTTTCAATAATTTTTGTTTTTGAGTGATTTAAAATACAATTTTGACAAAAACAAAGTCACACAATCAGTCTATGTTTACAATCAGTACAGCTGTAATTTGTTTATTCAGTTTTCTTTCTCAGTAAGAATAATATATTTTGTTCAGTGCAAAATTGTGCATTATTCAGTTATTCATAACATTTATCAGTTCTTTTGTTTAGTCGGTTTCACTGCCTGCCTTGCTCTGATTTTTGTTTTGACTTTTTGTTGATGCACCATTTTGATGTTTCTTTTTGGCATAAAGTTCTGTTTTTTTCCTTTTTTGTATCTTTAGTCATCTGCCTCCATCCTCTTCAGTCCTGCATTTGGATTCTAATAAACATATTTTAGAACAAACAACAGTCTAACATAGCAGATTTAAGCAGCACAGTTTTTATTGGTCTGTGAAGGTCGGCCTTGAGCCGTGACGTCTGTTTATGTTCACAGAGAACCTTTGAGTCCCTAAAGGTGGCTAAAAGTGCAGATCAAATTAGTTAAGGTCATGAAGTCTCCCCTTGTTTCATTGAGTTTTAACATAAATCCTTTATATTAAACTTGACATCCTTCCATTTGAAACACACATGCACGCACAGAGTTACTATCTTTACAGTCCCTTCAAAGACTTGTGAGACATCTCAAAAGGCTTTAGATTGCATAAAGCAGGCTGGCTAAGCTGCTGAAATCAGTGATGGCTGCTATTTTTAGAATATGTGAAATGTATCTGTAACACCACATACACATTTTTGCACACACACACACACACACACACACACACACACACACACACACACACACACACACACACACACACACACACACACACACACACACACACACACACACTACAGGAAACAGACATGATCAAATTGAGCCGAATGAAATAAATGCAGGGAGCAGGGTTTCTGGCAGATGTGTAAATTTAAAGAAGTTGTGTTTTCAGGTTTTTGTTCGCACTCAAATAATTAAAGTCATCTGGATGATGAAGATTCAGAGGGGAAAGCTTCAAGCTGTGATGTGAAATGAGCACTTTCCATGCTGAAATTTAGATGTTTAAAGACCATTTCATGTAATCCAGAAAGCAAATACTCAAAGCCATTCTGCACTTAAGTCTAATTTCACACAATCTGTCTGTTTAACAGTTAATGTGTGTTTTTGTGCATTGATTCAATTAAACTCAATCTAAATACTGTAATTTCTGGACTATAAGCCGTTACTTTTTAAAATCACTGTAATGCCATTTTAATTGGTGATATGCGACTTATTTGTGCTGCTGATTATCTCATGCGGCTGTATTCATTCGTACACAGACATGTTCGGGCTGCTGTTATTTTGCCATATTCGTTTACATTATCAGTGTTTAGTGTATATTTTAGATCTTTTAGCGTACCGTTTGGTGGTCGTTTAGTGTATATCGTAGATCCTTATATACTGTTTGTTTGTATACTTTATGTTTTTGCTATTTTTGGTTGTAACTGGGACCCTGAGTACATAATTTCATTCCACCTCATGTACCACGTGTGACGCAAATGACAATAAAATTGACATGAACTTGAACACCGCAGCTTATACAATGCTGTGGCTAATTTATGGATTTTTTTTTAATGGGCTAATGAGCTTCCTGCCGCCAAAAACATTTAGCTTCATCACACCTGGGTGCTCACATAGCTGCCCAATACACATCTCTTTTGGGGGGTGAGCCCTCGTGACTCATTGAGACTACTTGGGGGTTTTGCTTATGTTTGGATGCGCTCAATAGTCTGGAAATTATGGTACATTTAAGCTAGGATACAAACAGGAAATAATGAAAAAGAATTACAAAATGTAAGATAGAAGTGGCATTTTTTAAATAAATGCTGAAAACTTAAAATAAGCCTTTAAAAAAACCTTAACAGTTCTGTACTCTTGATTGAGGAAAGTCTATTTTGCTCATTGTTAAACAGTATGGAGTGTTTTCAATCCATTAGTTTGTGGATGCATCTCACATTCATGTTATTTATATTATTTTTGTATTTTTTTTTATCATTACCTATAATTTGTCACATAATACAGAAAGAAAATCTATGACCTGACAAGAAATTGATTGAGATAACTTTTGCAATGAAGTAGGAAGAGGAGTGGATAATCTTGTGAGATGTCAGATGAAGTAAGATGAAGGTGATATGGAACGAGTGTGACGCCAACTGGGAGAATCAACCGAAAGCAGAGTGCATGTAAAAACACAGGAGGTGGAGTCGAGGCCAACAGGCGGAAAATACTTTCATTAATAAAATCTGCTGATGAAATTAGAACTAATAAGTCACACATGCGCACACATAAAATGTCTCATCTCTACTGAAGGTTCATGTAGAGAGAAGTACAACGGACGATAAGCTGACTTTATTTTTAATCATTTAGTTTATTAGAAATGCTCACAGATGTTCCACAGAAAGGCAAACAGAAACACAAGTTAACACTTTCAACACAGTAGAAAAATACCTTTTATAAAATAGCACCTTTTTCTCTGGCAGGTAAACATGAATTCAGGATAAAAGTGACACAACTATCCCCAAAATAGTGAAACTTTATGTACAAAGAATATTGTGCCTGATTCTTCATTTTTTTTTATACAAACGATCAAACCAGAATCGATGACTGATTTGAGTTTTGTGTGGAGAGAAGAGCAAGGACTGGACTGAGACTCAGTGGATCTGGTGTGAAGATTAGGTTTACATGTTCAGCAGTATCCTGTTTTTTTTTTTTGGTAAAAAATATTCTGGTCTTAGAGACCAAGATCCTGTTTTGAGAAACCTAGATATGCTACTAAGAGAGGATTTTGCCACTGTTAAGCCAAAGATGATCCTGGATACCAAAGTTCATGCTCAATAATCCATATAAAATTTAACAATGTTCAATCAGGCTGTCTGGACAGTTTCTTGTTTTTTTGCTGAAAAGTTTCGTCTGTCATCCAACGGACTTCTTCAATCTGAGGAGCCACCAAAACAAAACTGATTCTCCACCAACAGCATACTCCATAGTGGGCAAAAACAGTTTTCTGGTGCTAAAATGGCCTCCGGGGCCTGCCTACTCCTCCAGGACCCGCCCTCTTCCTCGTCAACTCTTCTGAGACAGTCATGCCAAAGTGGTTCAAAACACCAAAGTTCATGTTCAATAATCCAGGTATAAAATCCAGACAATACGTCTCAGCAAAAAAGTAAAATAAAATAAACCGTCCAGATTACCTGACTGAACATTGTTGTCTTGGATTATTGAGCATGAACTTTGGTGTTTTGAACCACTTTGACATGACTGTCTCAGAGGAGTTGATGTGAGGGAGAGGGCAGGCCCCAGAGGAGGGGCAGGCCCCGGAGGAGGGGCAGGCCCCGGAGGAGGGGCAGGCCCCGGAGGAGGGGCAGGCCCCGGAGGAGAGGGGCAGGCCCCGGAGGAGAGGGGC